ATCTATAATGCAAATCTATTAATTGATTAATGAATCAATCAATCGATTAATTCATTAATACTAGCAATAATTATTGTCAAAATAATTACTATGGAATTATATTGATTTATTAGTTCACAAGTTTACCAATGAATAACTTCATAGATTGGATTAATTTAGATTTGCTTTAAATAAATCTATGAATATCTAAAATTCATGGATTACATCTATAATATAAATCTATTAATTGATTAATTGATTCATTAGTTAATTAGTTATGTGGGAGGCACAGGGGGAAATAAACAAATATCCTTAAAATTACTTTTTAGGGATTCATGGATTTTGTAAAACCCCAGACTAGTTGAATATTTTCATTTTATTCCTGTTTTATTCCCAGTTTATGTGGATAAATCCCAGATTTCTCTCAGTGTTTGTGACATTTTTTAGGTGTTTGGTTTTGAATAATAAATCTGTTGGAAAAATTCCATGCCACGTCTTGAATCCCCAGAATTTTCTAATTATTGAATCTTCAACATTCAAATGATTTCACTTGCTGTTAGCTAATTAATTTCTCTTTTATATTCTAATTATTTAATCTTCTATTTTCCATTTCTTTAATCTTTCATATTCTCATTGTTCTCTTTCATTTTCTCTCAAATAATTTTCTCTTCTAATTATGAATTATTACATCTTCTTGTCGTGGGTTTAAAACCTGACTTTTCCCTAACCGGGCAGAAACACCAGAAATGTTGTGGTTTGAACTGTGCTGAAAGCCAAGAAAAACTGTACCCATGACATTCCCTCCCTTCCCCCCACCGGAGAGGGAGAAGGGAGAGCGAGAGCCCAATTAACACAGGAATTTATGGCTTTGAGATAACATAAAAATAATTGAGAGAAAGATATGTACGTGCTCCAGAGAATAGTCAGACAGGCTGAATAACTTAAGTTGCAAAATAGATTTATTACTATACACTACTAGGAATACTACGACACTGGGGGGAAAACCGAGATAGGGATAAATTTACAAGGAGAAAAAAATAAAATGGACATTTTAAGACACTTGTTATTTTTTCCGGGGACCAGTTTTTTTCAAGTCCCATCCCTCTCCACTCCCCCCCATGCTGTCCCTCACACAAAGGGGGGCAGGAATGAAAGTCTAACACAGATCAAAACACTCAGCTGTTGTCCAAGCATTGTAGGATACAACATTCTTACAGCTCCAGCTGTGGGAGTTGTCTTTTCCAAGAATAGTCAGTGTAAAACTGCTAATGGCAGGGAAAAGAAATTCCTTTACCTCGGAGGAGAAAAGAAAGAATGTCCTTCAAGGCCAAAACTACGTTGATTTCAGCGGCGTAAGTCTGACTATCACAAACCCCCTGGCAAAGCACAGCTTCTTCTAAACATCAAAACGTCGTGGGGGAAGCAAACCTCTTCTCTTTTTCTTGGCTTCTAATCAAATCAATCCAGTCCTCAAAAAGCCAGGGTTTTTTTTTTTTTTTTTTTTTTTT